CAGGGTGGGGTCTCGGGGCAGGTTGGGGGTCATGGGGCAGGGTTGAGGGTCATGGGGCAGGGTTGGGGGTCATGGGGCAGGGTTGGGGGTCATGGGACACGGTGGGACATGGACAGGATGGGGTCATGGGGCAGGGTGGGGTCATGGGGCAGGGTTGGGGGTCATGGGGCAGGGTTGAGGGTCATGGGGCAGGGTTGGGGGTCATGGGGCAGGGTTGGGGGTCATGGTGGGGGTCTTGTTCCACTTCCATCAAAGGACAGAGAAACAGCAAATCACTCTGGGAAATAAAAAACTTTAAAGTAAATAAGTCAAACAATGGACTGGACATGGCTGAAGACTCAGGTGTGAAAGGCAAAATAACAGGAAAATCCAGCCAGAGGCAGCGCTCAGCTAGAATTCCCAGCTAGTCAGTAGACAGAGCTCTGAGGATCACGGTTCAAAGCCAGCCTGGACAGGAAAGTTGGTGAGACTCTGATCTCCAATGAACCACCAAAAAACTGGAAGTGGAACTGTGCCACAAGTGGTAGGGTGCTTGTCTTGACTTGAAGAGCTGAGGGACAGTGCCCAGGCCCAAAGTTCAAGCCCCATGATGAACAACAACAAAATATCAGGAAAAATCTCCTGGAGGAAAGGTCAAGTAAGCCTGAAGAACTGAGGGAAAACGAGCAGACAGGAAAGGGAGGCCTGGAAGAGCTGGAGTCTCCCCAGCCTGGATTTTTACTGTCAAGGTGATGGAGGAGGGGTAAGATCACACAGGTCGCATGATGAGCCGGTGGCTGGCCACCTCCCTACCCTTCCCTCATGTGTCCCTAGGTTCCCTCCCCCACCCGCCATTAGCTTATCCTGAAATAGCGCGAGACTTCCTGAGAGGAGTATGAAGACTCTGAAAGCCAGAGTCCTCCTTGGCCCCAGAGCAGAGGAAGACAGAAATGGGGGGACCCACCACAGGAGAGGAGGCCCCTCTCCCGGGGAGCCCGCCCATGTTCTCCTTCAGCGGCACAGGCGGAACCCGGCTGGCCTGGCCTGCTGTGTTCCTGAGACGTGCACATTTTTCTTCATGCTTATTGCTTTAAAGTGCCCAAGGCAATAAAGAACTGGGGAGTGGTGTCAGGCCAGGTCCTCCCCCCACTGCAGGAGAGAGTCCACGTCTAAGCCCCTGGGAGCAGACAGCACCGGAGCTAAAGGGAGGCAGAGGAGGCGTCCTGGGCAGGCCTGCAAAGAACCCATACTAAGACCGGCCATGGCCAGAGGCAGCACCACCAGGAAGGGAGGCTCTTAAACCTCGGCGGGGACAACAGGCTGGGGTATAAAAGCCCACACATGCCCAGGCCCACACACTCACACACACTCCTCGCTCACACACACCCTCAGCTCCTCCAGAGTCAGCCTGCAATGGCTGCCTCCACCATGTCAGTCTGCTCCAGTGACCTGAGCTATGAAGCTGGTTCTGCCTGCCTGGCTCCTGCAATTCCTGCACCGACGCCTCCTGGCAGGTGGACGACTGCCCAGAGAGCTGCTGCGAGCCCTGCGGCGTCCCCAGCTGCTGCAAGCCCCACGGCTGCTCCCCCGCCCCCTGCCTCACCTTCCTCTGCTCCCCAGCGGGCTGTGCGTCCAGCCCCTGCTGCCAGTCCGTCTGCGCCAGATGCTGCACACCCTCCTGCTGCCAGCCGTCTAGCTGCCAGCCCTGCTGCTGCCCCTGCTCAGCCTGCCAGCCGGCCTGCTGCATGCCTGTCTGTTGTAAGCCGGTGTGCTGTGAGCCCGTGTGCTGTGAGCCCGGTGTGCTGTGAGCCCGTGTGCTGCAAACCCGTGTGCTACAAACCCGTGTGCTGTGAGCCCGTGTACTGCGGGGCTTCCTCCTGCTGCTGCCAGCTGTCCAGCTGCCAGCCCTGCTGCCACCCCTGCCCGCCCTGCCACCATCCTCCAGCGTGTCCCTGCTGTGCAGGCCCATGTGCAGGCCTGCCTGCTGCGTGGCCACCTCCTCCTGCTGTGCCCCCTGCTGCCAGCCAGACTGCTGCCGCCTGTGGCCTTGTGCCTGTCCCTGCTGTGCCGCCCTGCCTGCTCCCACCAGGCCTGCTGTAGCAGCTTCCAGGTCCAGTGCAGCTGCTGATGGGCACATGTCTTGCTCTCATGGGCTGCCTCTGCTCTAGGCATGGCCCCTCAGCATCCCCTGGCCCCCAGATTCACCCCTCTCTCGAGGAGCAGCCACCCCTCTGTGGCCTGGCCTCGACCCGTCATCATGGTCCCCGGCATCTCCAGTTCACACCTGCATTCATGTGACAAAAGCCAATTGCTGTAACCAATAAAGCCTGTGCACTGGGGACACAACCTGCGTTCTGAGCCTCCTCTGAGCCCAAGCCCAGCCCGGGCTGGGCTGTGCATCCACCGACTGTGAAATTCAGGCTTCGTTTGAGGAGGGTGCCCAGGATAGCGGGCCGCAGAGAGACACTTGGCCCAGGCCGCCTCCACCCGGCCCCAACATGTACACCCTGCGCTCAGGTTCCAGAAGTTCCCGTGGATCCCAGAGAACTCGGGGCCTTCTGACATCCCTTTCCACTCAGGGCTTAAGGAGACACAAAGCAGGGGACACCGTGTGGACAGGGGTGAGGGTAGACAGGGCCATGGTCCTGTGAACCCCCGTGGGAGGGGGGAACGGCCGGGCCTGCAGCTGGCCAAGTGCCAATAGCTAAGGGCAGGGATTTCCAACTGCCAGGGACCCGCCGAGGTGCCTCCACCCAAGTCCCGAGCCCACTCTGGGGTCAGGGCTTGGAACCAGAAGAACGGAGCTGCTGTGCTACCCGGTGAGGACTCGGAGCTGCCCCTCGCTGGTGCCTCCTGTGGCAGCAGACTCCGCACAAGCCTTAGGACAGAGACACCGCCAACACGTGCTCGGGTGCCACATGGCTGCCGGTGTGAAGTCTGCTGGAGGTCCGTGGTGCTCACCTGCCACACGTGGAGAATGAGCCACTCAACTCGTGAACAGGACAGGAGGGGAAAACCAGGAGAGAGCACTGGGAGGTGCTCCTTACCTGGCTGGTGAAATGGTGGCCCCTGTGTACATCACCTTTATAACAGCAATAAAAACATGTGTTAAAAAGTCAGTTGTTCAAACAACAATGAATGCTGGTGGGAATGTGAACTACTACAGCCACTTGGACAGCTGTCTGGAGGTTCCTTACAAAACCAAACATAGACCTTCCCTGTGACTCAGCCAGCATTCCTGGGCATCTACCCAGAGCATCACCAGCCAGGTTACTGTGAAGAAAGACACCTCCACACCCATGTTCACTGCTTCACTATTCACAATAAAGTTATGGAGAGAGTCAGATGCCCCACAAGGGATGAGCAGATCAATAAAATGTGATGTTTGTACACAATGCAATTTTACACAGCCATTAGAACGAATAAGATTCTATCATTTGTTCACATATAGGAGGACCAAAATGAGGATAATCTTAAGGGAGGAACACATGCTATGTGCCTCTGATCATATAAAATAATATTTGTAGAAATGAACTCCAGGACCCGGGAACAAAAGTTTCTTTTCTATAATGTTTAGAAAGGTTGTGTCATTTTCAGGGAAATGGATGGATCTAGTGCAAACTCAGTAAGGTGAGCCAAACTTAGAGAGACAGGTGGTGCATTTTTTGTCTCCCAAGTCGGGTCTAGATCTAAAGGCCATGACTCCTTATTCACAAACGAGGAGACTAAAGGAAGATACCAGCTGGGGAGGAACCCAAGGTGAAACTCTCCTGAACATGTTAAATGCTATTTATTGAATTCCAGGAATCGAAAACATGGGTTATTTATGTTGCTTTTAAAAAAAAAGACAGCCAGGTGCCAGTGGTTCAGGCCGGTCATCTTAGCTAGTCATGATCTGAGGATTACGGTTCGAAGCCAGCCTGGGCAAGGAAAGTCTGTGAGTCTTATCTCCAATAAACCACTCAGAAAAAGCTGGAAGTGGAGCTGTGGCTCAAGTGGTAGAGCACTACCCTTGAGCACAAAGAAGCTCAAGGACAGCACCCAAGCCCAGAGTTAAAGCCCTAGGACTAGCCAAAACTAACCTAAACTAAACTAAACCTGTCAGTGTAAGAGAGAGCTACATGCAAGTGAAGCTCAGTGGTAAACTTGTCTTACATGAGCAAGCCCTTAATTTGATCTCCTATAGCACACTCACATACACACACACAGAGGTGAAGTCTAACTGGATTTCTCTATCTGAAAGATGCAGGAAAGCAGTCAGTCCATTACAAGTCCACCGGAGGACAGAAAAGGCCTCCTGCCCTCCCCATGGTTCGGCTGACCCACGTCTTTCTCTAGGCTTGGGGTCCACATGATCTGGAGCCTACTCAACCTGACGTACTCCGTCCTGCATTCCTCCTAGAGCAAACTGCTGATGAGGCATCCTCTCCACTTCTGTTTTTATGAGCACTCCCATTTTCTCTTCTAGCGATTTATCTTCTTTCGTAAGGGATTCTGTGTTGTGGATTTTTCTACGCCTGCTTTGTGGATGTGCCATTGTTGCCCACTCCGCACTGTCTCCACAGGGAAATCTACGGCCATCTCAGCTCTTTTGTGTGAGGTCTCACTCCATCGTCTTCAGGAGTCCCGTCTTATTTTTGGTTTCTGCCACCTTAGTATGAGGTCATTTGTGGTTTTCTTTATGTTTATCCTGCTGATGTTTTATAAGACTCTTGGATCTCTCTAGTTTGGTTTAAAAAATAAATTGTTTCCTCAAAAACTAGTTAATGGTTCAGTTACTTTCTCTGCCCTCCGCTCCAAGTGTGTTGGACTATGCTTGTATAGTGGACCATGATTTTGCTTCACATGGCCTCTTCTTTCTTAATTTTTCTTCACCCTTTTTCAGATTACATAATGTCTACCAGCATTATCTTCATATTCAGTGACTGTTTTATTTTTTTGGTTTTTGTGCTGGCATTGTGGCTTGAACTCAGGGCCCTGTGTTCTAAAGTCTGGCTTTCTACCTCTTAAGCCAAACCTCCAACCTAGCTTTTGGTTGGTCAGTTGGAAATGGAGTCTCACAGGCTTTTCTCCCCCTAGGCTTGCTATGGAGTGCAATTGTCTAATCTCAGCCTCCTGAGGTGCTAGGATGACAAATGTGAGTCTCGGGTGCCTGGGTATTCTGAGAGAACTTTTCTATTAGGAGGTTCCGAACTCCACATTCCAGGTCCCCCAACACAGGACTGTGACACCTGGTCCTTGGATACAACTGCCCTCCTGCACCCATGCATGGAGTGTGACTTCCCACCACCAAGGAAGATGCTGGCTCTTGTGTCTCTCAGAGTCTCCTCCATGACTACTTCTGTTCAGCACACATGGTACCTTGAAGCCTTTCATCCCCGAGGCTAACTAAGCACTTTCCCCGCCGAGGCCCCCAGACTCTTTTCCCTGATCCGTTTTCTGTGGCAAGACACAGCCCTCTCCAGGATTATTTCATACATTCATCCCTTTATTCATTTGTCCCCTATTCCCATTGCAGGTAGACCCATGAGACCAGAGCTGATGACACACAGTATATGTCTATTAAATGAGCAAATGAATTCTTGTCAGCGATTATATGCCAGGGTTAGCTAACTTTCTGTGAAAGGCCAAACATTACCACCTCCTTCCCACACCAGCCAGCCTCCACCATGTGCCACACCAGCTGTTCCACAGGCTGCCAGCCGACCTGCTGTGTGTCCAATCCCTGCCAGTCATCCTGCTGTGTGTCCAGTCCCTGCCAGCCATCCTGCTTTGTGTCCAGTCCCTGCCAGCCATCCTGCTGTGTGTGCAGTCCCTGCCAGCCATCCTGCTGCATGTCCAATCCCTGCCAGTGGTCCTGCTGTGTGTCCAGTCCCTGCCAGTCGGCCTGCTGTGTGTCCAGTCCCTGCCAGTCGGCCTGCTGTGTGTCCAGTCCCTGCCGGTCGGCCTGCTGTGTGTCCAGTCCCTGCCAGTCATCCTGCTGTGTACCCGTGAGCTGCAGACCTGCCATGTGCATTCCTGTGAGATTGCAGGTGGTCTGCTGTTACCCTGTGAGCTGTAGACCTAGTGTGTGTGTGGCTCCTTCCTGCCAGTCCTCCGTGTGTGTTCCTGTGAGCTGCAGGCTTGCTGTGTGTGTGGTCCCCAGCTGCCAGTCCTCTAGGTGCTGTCAGCCATCCTGCCCCACCGTGTTCTGCAGACCTGTGTCCTGTGGCACCTCCGCCTCCTGCTCACCAGCAGAGCCCAGACTGCTCTTCCCAGCGCTTGTGCCTGCATCCACACCCTTCCCAGCACCTGTGCTCTGTGGCCACGGTGCAGCACCTAAGGCAGTTTTAGGGTCTGCTCATGCAACCCTGGACTTCCCAGTGAGAACACAGAGGACAGCCGAATGATCCAGATCACCCTGTCCCTGTCCCTGGAGAACTTCTGGGTCCCAGCTCCTTCTCTTCTCCATGTGAACCAAATAAATTCATGTTTGTAGCACACCTCTTGTCTCTCTCTCTCTCTCTCATCTTCAATTGTGAAACTGTCTCCATAAACCATACGACACAAATGTGGCCCATACCCCTCCTCTGCCTGCCATCCCACTCCCTTCCTCTCCACTGTCCCCCCCCTGCTGTCCTCTCCCTCCCCTCCTCTCCACTGTCCCTCCCCCGCTGGCCCTCCCCCTCACCTCCTCTAAACTGTCCCTCCCCCACTGGTCCTTGCCCTCCCCTCCTCTCCACTGTCCCTCCCCCGCTGGCCTTCCCTCTCCCCTCCTCTCTATTGTTCCTCCCCCACTGGCCCTCCCAGTCCCCTCCTCTCCACTGTCTCTCCCCCGCTGGCTCTCCCCCTCCCCTCCTCTCCACTCTCCCTCCACCGCTGGCCCTTCCCTTCCCCTCCTCTCCACTGCCCTCCCCTGCCGGCCCTCCCTCTCCCCTCCTCTCCACTGTCCCTCCCCTGCTGGCCCTCCCCCCTCCTCTCCACTGTCCCTCCCCTGCCAGCCCTCCCCACTCTCTCTCCTCTGTATCCCACTGAGCTGACAAGGAATATCTTGGTGTGGTATGGCCCCACCCCTGCTGAATTCCCAGCACCTGGGAGCAATGGTAGAGGAAGACCCAGTATGGGGGGTATGTGGGAAACAGGCCTGGACCTCAAAGCTCCTGCCAGACCCTGAAGGAGTCCATATCAGGGAGGATGGGGATCACATCTCTCACAACAACAACACTAATACCAAGAGAAGCTGCTCTCAGAGCAGAAGGTCAGAGAAGCCCCTGTCCAGCCCCAGCCCAGAGGCCTGCTGGAGACCAGAGACAGGAGACCAGAGGCTGGAGGCCAGATATCAGAGGCAAGGACTCTACCCACTCCCACTTGGGGAAAAAATGTGTGAAGACCTCTCTGTGTAACAGGCATCTGAAAACTCCCCAATTGATTCAACATAAACACACACACACACACACACACACACACACATGACCTGGCAGCAGAGATGCATTTCCAGGGGAAATTCTACTTTTATCAATTTTAGTTGCTCAATATATATTGCCTAATATCCAATCAAAGATGATAAGGCACCTAAGTCAGCAAGGAAGAGCCAGCCAATCATCAAGAGGCTACAATCAGCCAAAGCAGACTCAATAGCCCAGACTCAGAGTTGTCAGACACAAACTTCACAGCGAGTCAGGTGATTAAGGCAGACGCCAAAACACATGGTGGAAGACGAGCTGCAACAGCCTCTCGGGACTTAAACAGAGGCAGATAGGAATCAGGAGCAGTGAGATACAAGGGGAAAAGTGACTGTGGGGAAGGCAAGTGGGGGGCAAGACAAGCGGGGAAGAGCAAGGGGCACAGGGACCATGGCAGGCCATGGCTGATGTTTGCAGTTGGAGCCCCTGGAGGAGAGGGGGCGGGGGAGACCCCGGCAGAAGAGACACTAAGGAGATGACAACAGTAATTACATGGAGCTTCCCCTCCCCCAACCACACAAAGGTAGATACGCCTTATGCAGCCTATGGCTCTCAGGAATCAGTCAGTTGCTGGTGGAGATGTGTTGTCTGGTTTTTTTCTTGTTTGTTCTCTTTTCTCTCTTTTGAGGGGAGAAAAGGGGACAGAAGTGTAGGGAGGGTGAGCAAATGTAGCAGTGGTATTCAGTATACACTATGGGGAAAATGAACTTTGCAACTTGTGGGCATGACAGGAGGGGGAAGCTAGGGGAAAGCGAAGGAAGGGGTGGCATTGTCCAAGAAGAAGTGTACTCATTACCCAGCCTGTGAGGATGTCACCCCTCTTACAACACCTTAACAATCACAACAAAAAGTTCTCTTAAAAAACCAAAGTTGCTACTCAGGAGTCTGAGACCTAAGGGTTGTGGTTCAAAGCCAGCCCAAGCAGGAAGGTCCATGAAACTCTTGTCTCCAATAAACTATTCAGAAAAAGCCAAAAGTGGTGCTATGGCTCAAGTGGTAGAGCACTAGCCTTGAGCAAAAGAAGCTCAGGGACAGAGCCTAGGCCCTGACTTCAAGCCCAGAACTGGCTAAAAATAAAAAAAAAAGGGGAAATTGTGGAAGCATGCAGATTAAAACGCTGCACACAGGAAACAAAGGTATGTAAAGTGCTAAGACAGTGGCCAGCCCTGTGGAAGGAAAGCACCTTAACAAATGAAGAGAAGCAAATAAATTTTAGAGAAACCAAAATTAAGAGCGACTCCATTAACAACAAACATGGATACAATAAATCTTGAAGAAATCTCCTCAGCAGAGGACTTGTTTCAAAGAGAAGACAAGTAAGTCTTGGCAAGATAGTTGCTGCCTAAGTGAAAATAGTAGCAATGCTTGGTGGAACTCTTAACATAAGTAGAAGCAAAATATGATGGCAGAGATCCCAAAGGCAGAGAGGGATAGGGAGGTGCCGAAAGGTGGAGCAGAGATATTCCTGTCTTACTAAAGCTGTGTATTGTAAACACAATACACCATTCTCTTGGCTAGGTCAAGAGAATTGACAAGATAGATAATTAATTGGCCTCCTATGGAGAATGAAATGTAATACCCAAGGACTCTAAACCAAACCCAAAAGAAGTATAACAAAGAGAAAAGGATAGATGGGATAAATAACAGGGGATTATCAAGATGGTACATGCAGTTAAATACATCAGTGAACATCTGAGCTCTAGAATCACAAGACAGAGATTTCCAAATTATATTTTTTTAAAAAAGCAAAGTCCAACAAGATTCTGTTTAACAGAAACCCACTAGAATATAGGTTAACGCCAGGTGCCCGTGGCTCATGCCTTTGATATCAAACACCGTAGATCTCAGAGTAAGGAGTGGTAGGAGGCAGGGCAGAGCATGGCTCAAACAGTAGCACACCTGCCCTTTAAGCACAAGGCTCTGAGTTCAAACCCCAGTACTATATGCAGATAGAGCAGAAAGCAGTGACGAAGAAGGTATCTATTTAATGGCTTAAAAATTTCAATGTGCCGGGCATGGTGACACAAGCCTGTCATCTGACCTATTTGGAAGGTAGAGATGGAGACCAGTTTGAGCATAAAAGAATATTAGAATTCATGAGAGTCCATCTCAATCAATGGCTGGGCCAAGCGGCGCACACTGGTCATCCCGACCTTGGGGCAGGTTGGCAGGAGAATGGCCCAGGCCACCCCTGGAGTAGAGGAAGAGTTACCCTGGAAATAACCACCCAAAAAGGGCTGGAGGGCTGGCTCAAGGGCCACAGTGCCTGCCCAGCCAACACCAGGCTATATATTGCAATCTGATGCCCCCCCCAACCAGGCTCAGTTCAACAGGAACACGTGACCCTTCTTACCATCACCAAGTATCTGGACGACAGAGTATCAGACTTCGTGGGGTATCTGGGCATCACAGAGTCGCCAAGACTGAACAGAAGAACACTGGCCAGGCAGGCAGACAGACCCGTGGCCACATAGACAGGCAAGGGCCACATGGACCTTGAGGCCTCATGGAGCCACCAAATGGCAAAATCCAACAGGATACAGCCGGCCGAGGCAAACGGGAGGGAGAGGGCATGTGCACAACAGGATGCAGAGGCTCCCCTGGCCGCCCGGCCGCCACTCCACCCTCTCCGGCCGGCCTGCTCTGCTTCTCATGGTTGTGCCCCAACACCTGCTGCCCAACACAGGGCAGCCTCTGGGCCCTCAGCATGGACCCCAGACCACCCTGTGTGCAGTGTGGGCACCGCTGCCATGTGGCCTGGAAATGTGTGCCCCTCGGCTGGTGCCAGGTTCCTGCGTGCCTGCCTGCACACTCCCCACTCCCATAGCTGAGCTCTCCTCTCCTGCTTCGTTCCCTTCTTCCATTCCCTTCTTCTATTCCCCTTCCTTCAGTGTGAATTTAAGGAAAACTGGAATTCTACCTGTTTCTCCTAAGTTAACAAATCCATAGGCGTCGTGGTCTTCCTTGCTGTGTTCTGAGCCTGTTTCCATGGACCCGCTGTGTGTGGAGTGTAGCAGCACAGAGAGGCTGAGACAGGCCCAGGGCCTTGTTGTAGGGGCTCAGAACCTCTGCCTGCCCCCCCCCACCAGCAGCAGTGGAAGTTTCCAGAGCATCCTTCCACTGGTGAGGCCACACCCCTGCATGCATGTGCAGGTGTGCATAGCTCAGGAATGCAAGGCACTCCCACGTGTGTGTGTGTGAGAACTCTGCTGCATGTGTGCAGGAGCATGCAGGAGTGTGCAAGGCATTCCTGTGTGCACGTGTGGTGACGCGTGCATGAAACTGCCTGTGCATGCAAAACTGTTTCTATGTGCACTTGCCTTGTGAGGGTGGATGTGGTGCATTTGTGTGCATCTGTACACGCACGTGTGTGGAGCAGGTACATAGGTGTGCCCAGTCAGGATTCTTGACCCAGGTCAACCGCTTCTATTTCCCCAACTTAAACGACACAGTAGGTACCAGGCCACCTCAGCTCCAGGCCATCAAACCACCAGGGAACTCAAATCCAGTAAGTAACAAGGCTTGAGCCCAAGCATAGCAGGACAAACTCTGGGTCAGAGGCATCCGTGTTGCACCTGTGGAGAACCAGGGCCTGGGAAGGGCAGGTCTGCCCTCTCCCAGGAGTCTAATATGGAGTGGGCTCACAGCATGGCAGGAGAGGGGCTGATGACCCCTAATGGTGGAGAGTCACACAGCTGACATGGAGGAATGGGAAAATCCAGCTGCTCTGCTGGAGGAACTCCACAGGACCCAGAAGCAGAGCCCTGGGTCCTGCCTCCAGGCCCTTGTCCCCCAGGACACAGAGGCAGCATCCTTGACACTGTGACCCCCTATGCAATCGCTGTGTGGACTCCAGTCTTCACAAAAGCCCCAGGAGCCAGTGACCTCACCACAGCCATGGCTCAGGCCGCCTCCTGTCTGCCTTCTGACACTCAGGAAACCAAGCC